GCGCGTGCAGGGTACGCCATACGCGCAGCAGCTCCAGATCATCCACGGTGACGTCATGAAGACCGACCTGCCCTACTTTGACCTGTGCGTCGCCAACATCCCCTACAACATCAGCAGCCCCCTCACGTTCAAGCTGCTGGCGCACAGGCCGGCGTTCCGCGCGGCCATCATCATGTACCAGCACGAGGTGTGCGCCCAAGGGCACGCGCGCGCGCGTGTGTGGGTGTGTGTGTGTGTACTTCTGTTGTCATGTATATGTATGTGTGGCAATGTCAAGAATCCGTCATGGGTCATTGGGGTGTGAGGGCGTCGCGAGCAGACCCAAGTGCCGTCGCCACCCTTGCCCCGAGCCCGGCGCAACGCCACGCGACGCGCGCGGCCCTGGCGTCACCTGCCCCCCCCTTCCCCCCCACACTCAACCCAGTTTGCGATGCGCCTGGTGGCGCGGCCGGGGGAGTCCGCGTACAGCCGCCTGGCGGTCAACACGCAGCTGCTGGCGCGGGTCAACCACCTGCTCAAGGTGGGTGGTTTGGGGGGGGGGGCGCGCAGCTGCGCCGACTCGACAGCACGCGCCGCTGCGATGCAGGCAGACGCGCAGCACCACCGCGGCCGAGACGCAGCGCAACCAAACAGTGCGTTCTGCTTGGATGCCGACCGCACGCCTGCCGCCATGGAGCCATTTGGGAGGCTGAGCCACATGCGTGCCCTGCTCTGCACTCCGCCGACAACCCCGCGCGTCGCACCCGCGCCCCGCCCGCGACCGCCAGGTGGGCAAGAACAACTTCCGGCCGCCCCCCAAGGTCGACAGCAGCGTCGTGCGCATCGAGCCGCGCCACCCGCCCCCGCCGGTGCCGCTGCTGGAGTGGGACGGCATGGTGCGGCTCGCGTTTGGCCGCAAGAACAGGACGCTGGGGGCCGCCTTCAAGAACAACCGGACGCTGGCGGCGCTGGAGGACAATTACAACACCATGCGGGCCCTGAACATGGGCAACGCGGCGGCGGCGACGGCGGCGGCGGGCGCGGGGGCTCCTCAGCAGCAGCAGCAGCAGCAGTGGGCGGCGGCCCTCGCGGCGGCGGCGCCGATGGACGCGAGCGACGGCGAGGCGTCGGGGTCGGACGAGGAGGCGGAGGAGGGGATGGATCTTGACGGCGGCGGCGGCGGCGGCGCGGGGCCGTCGGGCAAGGGCCCGCGCAGCGGCGGGCGGCCGGGCGGCAAAGGGCGTGTGTCGGCGGAGTTCAAGGGCACGGTGGCCCGGATCCTGGAGGCGACCGGGTTTGAGCAGATGCGGCCGGCAAAGATGACGCAGGACGACTTCCTGCGGCTGCTGGCTTCATTCAATGCTGAGGGCATCCACTTCTGCTGACGGCTGACGCACTGGCCTGACCCGACCCCCACATTCTTTTTCGTACATGCCGGTCATCGCTGTCGTTGTTTTCTGCTGTGGCTGCTGGTTGCCGTGTGTGTCCCTCGCTAGTAGCGCTGTTGCCAAGGGCCGCAGCTGCTGTTTGACGTGCAGCTTGCCTTGGAGCAATGATTCTGTCTCGCGGGTTCTCCGTCCGCGTTGCTTCGAGTGAGATCCCAGTGAAAGAGCTGGTAACGCCCCCGACCGCCAGGCATGAGGGTCCCAGCAAAACCCATCAGCAGGGCACGGCACAACCGTGGTCTTGTGCAGTGATTTGCCCCAGCCACGAGCCGAGAGCTGGCAGGTGCTGGGCATACGGCGCACCAGCGCTCGGCTGAAAAGCACCAGGTTCGCCACTGCCTCTACCTTACACAATTGGCCTACGTCATTTGTGGCCGCCGCTGCACAGGGGCGCCACTGGGCGCGCGAGCGATACGTCCGTGTGGGGGTGCATTGCCGCAGGATGCTACGTCATCGACTGTCAGATGCTACATGCTACCTGCCGAAAACCGCCGCCGCCGCCTGCTCGCTGTGCGAGCCGCCGCCGGGCACCCCGGGCGCCGCGGTGCCGCCGCCACCGTCCGCCCCCGAGGGCTGCTGCTGCTGCTGCTGCTGGCCCGCCGTTTTGTCGAGCGCTTTGCCTGTCAGCGTCCCAATTATGGGGTACTGTTGTCGAGGAGTGGGTGATGAGAGGATTTAGGGTGAAAAACAAGGGTGAGAAATCAAACCAAGGGCGCACAGAGGCAACATGCGTATAAACGATCCAGGGGGTGGAGGGGCTGAAGCGAATTGTGCCAGGCTGCCATGGATGGGCAAGTCATCAAGTTTGTGTGCACTTATTTATGTGCGAATGTGTGTGTGTGTGTGTGTCAGTGAGTATGTGTGTGGGTGGTGTATGTTGTGGGTGAGGGGTCGCGTAGCTGCCTCGTCCAGACGGCCCAAGGACTGTGGTGGGTGCTCGGCAGTGCAGCTCCCAGCCGCGGCTATTCCATGTGCCAACAGGCACACCTGCTGCCAAATCACCCGCACTGCCGCTGCCACAACAACCTACCCTGCCCTATCCCACTGCCTTCAATGCACTGGCCCCGCCTCAGCCAAGAAGCCGTCAACACGCCGGGCTCTGACAGCACAGCTGCCACGCGTGCAGCTTCCCCGCACCTTCCAGTTGAACTTCTCCTCCCACTCCCGCAGGTTCTCCAGCTCTATGTGGGCCAGGCCCTCCAGGTTGTCGTGGCAGTCTGACAGCTCAGTGGACAGCATGGCAAACGCACGCGCCACCTCGCGGCCCGCAAAGGGGTAGACGCCTGCAGGCACGGGCAGCCGGCGCGAGCCCCGAGGGCGTCAGGGGTGAGCGGGGTGTCCGGCATGTGTGGGGTGCGCGGAGCCCGCTTTGCTCGGGTTGTGCCGCGGCCTTGCAGGCCTGTGTGCTGACACAGGGCAGTTGTGTGCATTTCTCCGCCCGCAACGCACTCCTTCGCCCACGCTTTCCTCTCAGGAGCGACGTTTCCCGACAGCTACTTGCACCAGCCCGACCGCTGTCAGCAATCAGCTGCTTTTCCGGCACCCCCCCCCTTTGCGCCGCAGCCCAAGCCTGCGCCACAGCCTCACCTCCTGGCCCGTAGAAGTCCTTCCCCTTGGATACGTCGTAGACGGTGCCGCGGATGGATATGAGGATCGGCCGCGCGGGCTCGCTGCCGTCTGACGCCGCCAGCTCCTCGGGGGTCACGCCACGCAATGGCACGACCTTTGGGGGTAAGGACGGGGCAGTGACCAGAAAAGTTGGGTGGTCGGTCGGTCAATTGGTCGGCGAGTGTCCAAATCAATTGGTCGCTAGGGCAGTTGGTTTAGTGGTTGATTGCAAGGGCGATCAACAGGTTGCTCGAGGGGTGGTGTTGGCGGAGCAAACTTGCTGGACGTGGCTGGGCTGTGTGGAGTTGAGCGCATGCGGCACAGTGTGCTGCCTGTACATTGCAGCCGTGGCATCAGTGGTAGCGCCATTGGTGTGGCCGCCGCGTGCTCTTGCCTGGAGGCAGCTGCTCGCACGCTGCACAGGCGTCACGCAGCTGCACCCGCAAGCACCGCCAGCGTTCCTGCAGAGCACACCCCTGCATCACAGCTAGCCCAGCAGCTGCCCCCATGCTGCAGATTCAAGCGGCGCAAAGCACTGCCGCGTGCCTGTTGCCGTGCAGTGTCTACTCGTGGCATTTTGCACAGTACCGTACGTGGCATGCAGGGCCCCTGTCCTCTGCTGCAGCCAAGCCCTCCCAGCCCGAAGCACCCATGCAGCGAAGGCTCCAGGCAGCCGCTTAGCCCGCCAGGGCCGCATGCTGCTCTTTTGACCTGCACCACACGACCTCTCACGCTGCATTTCCAAAAATCATCCTCCGAAACACCTACGCCGCAATTCACACGCCAAAACGGACTGTGCCAGACAAGCGCCCCTCCTGCACGCATGCACACCCCACGCCCCAAATAATCACACGACGCAATTCACAGGCACACACGCACACCCACACCGTCACAGCCCACACCCCTCCCAAACACACGCAACCACACCCACATACACATGCACCACACCGGAGTGTGCACGCGCGCCCACACCTTCCCGGCCTCCAGGCACTTGCGGCTGCGCAGCTCTTCCAGCTTCTCCTCCAGCCGCTTCAGCTCCTCAGGACTGCAGTCCGCCAGGTCAGCGCTACCGATGTCTTTGGGCTCCTTGGAGCCCTTGGCAATAGCGCGCGCGCACTCGCGGCCCGCGTACGCCGAGAGCTCCTTGCCTGGAGGTGGATAAGGGGACGTGCCGGGCAGGGCACGGCCGGCGGGTGTGAGGCCAAGCGTGGCTGAAACTTGTTTGTTTGGGTACGCGGCCCCCGGATGGTTGTCAGCTACCAAGGCCGAGCTGCTGTGGCTGCATGCAGCGCTGCTGTAAGCAAGGCGAGCGTGCGCTGTCCCCTCTGCTCCTGCCTGCGCCCGGGGCCCTCACCCGGGCCATAGGTGTCCATCGCGTCGGTGATGTCATACACCACCCCCTTGATCGCGAGCAGCAGCGGCTTGGCCCAGTCCCGGCCATTGTAGTAGGCCAGTGAGCGCTCGGTGATCTCCCCGACGCTGAACTGGGCCTCGGCAGGCGGCGGTTGCGACAGCTCCCGCAGCACCTGGCGGACGCGCGCATTTGAACGATCGTATGCGGGCGGCGGGCGGGCGCGTCGGGGATTACAAGGTGCCAGCAGGACGGGCGCGTGAGCTGGATGCAAGCTCGCGCACGTGGCGGCCAGCAGCAGTGGCGAGCGAGCAGCAGGCGCTTGCGACCTGATGCGCGAGCACTCCCCAGTGCACCGCGCTCCCAGCCCTGCTTCGTTGCACTAGCTGACCTGAATGATTTTGAGCACCAGGTACAGTGCCGCCACAGCGGCTACAATGGCAAGGAAGCTCATACTGTACTAGACGATCTAGCGCGCGCTCGCTTTGTATTTTCAACAATTGTATTGATAAATCGTTCACACACTAATGAGCGCGGGTATGGTACCGTACAAGCTGAAGCTCAGCCTCAACGAACAGTGCTGTCAATGCAGACAGTACTGTATGCTGCAACACGTAATAGAGACTGAGTGGGAATGCCCATTGCATCATAGCAGCAAGCGTGACAGCAGCCCTATGCCGGGGCTGCACACATTCGTTCGCCACCTGGACGCCGCCATCAGCTGGCGTCATCTTATCACACCAGTCAACCAACTAGCAGGCCTTTGGATTTAGCATAATGTATGGGAGCCTTTAGATCTGCTCAGCACATCAGTGGAGGAACACAGGTGTGTGCATACTGCCATGGGGCAGTCTTGCTTCAGACCCATTCACCCCGAGGTCCCCAGCTGTCCACATTATCTAGGCCTGATGCACAGCAGCCGGCCTGTTTCACAGCAGCCAAAGGAAGCTGAACCCCTACGGCGCACGGGCGCAATGTTCAAAGTGCAAAGCGTCCACCTGGGCTAAGTGCTGCGAGCAAGGAACTTGCATGCAGAGTCTGAGCCGGGGCTCTGTGAGGTCACCGACCTCAACTAACGCCCTCTGTTACAAAGGGTGTGTGGTGCATGATGAATGCTCCTGTACATTGCACGCAGGGCATCACCACGCCATTCTCTGGAAGCAGCGCGGCACGAAGCCGGCTCGTCACCAGTGAGGTGGCCCATGGCATTCTGTCGCGGCGGCGGCGGCCGCAGCAGCGTCGGCGGTGGCATTGCCTGCTTGTGGATCGGCGCATGCCCAGATTCACAAGAATGGGGGTGAGTCGCAGCAGTGTGATCCTGTTGGGCAGGCGGGATGAGGGACCTGGGAGGCGGTGCACCGGCCGTCGGCGCCGCGTGCACGTGCAGTTGGCTGCCGCCAGGCAGTGTGGGGGGGATCGCAACCACCACGCACGCCGTCAACCCATTCAAAAGGGCGGTGAAATGGGCATGATTGTTGCAGTGAGGCATGCATGACGTGAGGCCGCAACCATTTTTAAAAAACAAGCATGCAGACATGGCAGCTGCGGCGCCTGCACGCCTCAGTCGGTGATTGCCTGGCTGCAGCATCCACATGGTGTGTGTCAAGGTTCCCAGCATCATTGTCACTGGTGATCACCCATCCAAGGGCGACATCAAAGTGGGTTGGCCCCTACTAGGCAAAATTCCCTCCGTCCATACAGGGGGTTCATTTGAGGGTCGCTGATACCCCGCGCATAGTTGCAACTGCTGTGCGGACGGCTGCACATGCAGGTAATGCAGGGGGTCCAAGCAGCAATAGGTGACAAGGTGAAGGGTTCGTGTGGGTGTGTTTGAAGATGCTGACACAATGAAAGGTCAGCGTTCGCGACCCTCGAGTCCATGATCGGCTGCTTGCTGCAGTGCAAGGGCACTGACTGCAAAACCGCTCAAGGGAGGGCCCCGGTGTGTGCGGCAAGCAGGCACGTTGCCAAGACAAAGGCTGCGCCTCGCAGCGCCGCGGTTGCGAGGGCGCAGAGGTACCATCACAGGCACATGGCACGCAGCAAGTGATGAATTGAGGGCGATTGTGTGGGAGAGGTGTTCAAGGGGTTTTGGTCCACGCAACACGTTGAGATCAGTCAAGAGATGGTCTCCAACGAAGCAGTTGACGTGAGTCGAGGTATCAGACCACCGACTGAAACCAGTGCACGACAACGCTCGCTCACAAGTGCGACTGCATTCCGAGTCGCACTGGCACGCAACCACGGGGCAAATGTCCGCTTCTCTCCTTGCGGCCACATCGGCGCCGCCGCCAGCACGCTGTTTGTGTGGCCTCCCGATCCGGCGGGCCTACAGGACCTTAATCCCCTGTCACCGCGGAAGAGTCACTCCAGGAGTCACTCCAACAAGGCAGACCAAGGCAAGGAGTCTGCACGCACGGCCGCATGCCAGCAAGCTGTGCAGATTCCACGCAGCTACCCCGCGTCACAGCCGGATAGACAGCCTGCAAGCAGCAAACCGCAAGGCAAACCTTGCACCAGCAAAACGCACGGTACATAGCCTTTGCATTGCTGGTTGATGGTCATTTGGAAAACAGTCATGTGCAGCCCTCGGGACTACGCACTTCCACTGCAGGAGCGCTCCAGGCGCTGGCCCGCTCCCAAGGCAATTGCAGCCCGCAGCCTTGCAATTCGGCGCAGGCTTCAACAGCCCGCGCGCATTTGCAGGCGCAAGCATCAGCATGCCGCAGCGCGTCCGTGTGCAGCACTTGCTATCCTCCGCTCAATACGTTGCTGACGTCAGCACGTGGCTGAGGGCGGCGCCGGCCACCACAAGCTCTGCGGCCGTCATAAGTGCCTTGTCCCTCCAGCCGCTCGAGGCGCGGCCGGCCGGTTTGTTCGAGGTGGCAAACTCAGTGGGCCCGGGGTTGCCAGCCTGACGAGTCGGGGAGCAATGGAATGCGAGGGGGCAGATCTTGGGTGGGCGCGGCTTCTAGTCGGGGCGCTCACGGCGGGCCCAGCAGGAAGGTGAACATGGGTAACTGCGCATTTGACATCTGCGCTGCCTCAGACCTTGCCGGCGACAGCATGCGCCTGTGATTGGCAGCAGCTGCGCACATTACTGCAAAGAAAATCAAGGCAGTGGACAGCAGCAGCACCCGGTATTACAGCGCCCACTCACCCCCAGGTCTCCGACGAATGCGACAGCAGGGGCGCCCTCTAGCTGCGCCGCGAGGTCGCCGCCGCCGGCAGCCCTGCGCGGCTCACTCCCTTTGATGGCCTGGTCCCTCTTGCCCCCTCTCTGGGCTGATTCGTACAACTCCCTGTGGGGGTTTGCCGGCCGGTTGCAATGGGTTGGCAGCCGAGGTTTTGGCAACGGTCTTGACAGGCCGGGCTGGGGAACGAAGAGCGGGTGGCAGGATAAGCCGAAGCGTCAAGTTCCACAGGTGAGTCGGTTGTATTGACAGAGGTCCGCCCACCGTCCCAACAAGCCCGCACGCGCAAGTTGGCAAGCGGGCCCTACGTACAGGGCCTCGGGCTCACCACTGCTGTGGAAGGCTGCCGGATAACAGCACCCGCTTCGTCATGACGCTGCGCGCCGCCGCGTTGTGCGCCACCACGAAGCCCACCAGCGTGCCGCTCCCAGCCGGGATCGGCGTCAGGGCGCCGGCGCCCGCGCGGCTGCCGGCGGCCGAGGCGGCCAGCGGCGCTGGGGGTGAGCGCGGGCTGCTGTGGGCCGCGGCTGCGCTGTCCGCGGTGCAGGCACCGCCGTCTCCGTCGTCATCGCATAGTCCGAGGGAAACATACGACTTTGTGATCTCATCCATCAGCGTCGCCGGCTCGCCGCCGCCGCCGGCGTCGCGCCACGCCTCGGCCTGCGCGAACAGCGCCGTCAGCGGCGTCCGCAGCGACTCAGCGGCCCTCGCGCCGGCGATCGATCCCGTCGCTCGAGCAGCGGCGGCCGCGACTGCCAGCGAAGAGAGCTCCTCCCAGCGCCCCCGCAGCTCCCCGGCTGCCATCGGCCGGCCAGTAAGCGCCGCCGCGCCTCCGTCGCCACCGCCGCCGCTGACGCCGCCCTGACCGTCCAATGTGGCGTCAAAGGCGCCATCATCGCCGCGGCTGCTGTCGTTGTCGTCCTCAAAATCGCCGTCGCCAACGGGGCAGAGGCCCTCCGCTATGCAGCGCTGCAGGTCTGACACCTGGCTCGCGAGGCGGTAGGCGGCCGGGTCCTGCGTGGAGGCTGCGGCCTGGCGGGCCTCCTACCAGGCGCATTGGGGCGATGAGGGGATTGGGGGCCGTGAGAGTGACGTAGTGGTGTCTAGCCAGAGGGCTGCAAATGGCGGTGGTATGCAAATAGGGCGATTTTTGGAACGGAGTAGAATGTGAGGGGGCCATTGTGATGCGGTATGGTGGTGTTGGGGAGCGGTTGGGTAAGGTTGGGGGGGGGGGGAGAGCGGAATCCAGGCTGCGGCTAGGGGGGTGCGTGGGTCTGAGGTTGGGTGGCAGGGAGGTCGGCACGTCGCAGGCACGCGACGGCGTCTGCGCCTCAACAAGGCAGAGGCCGTGCCACTTGTCCGCTGACTCGGATGGCGCGGATATTCCTGCTTTCATAGCTAGCTGTAAAAGTCGCACCCCTTCTTGAACGGTGGCCTCGCCTGCTCGAGGCGTCCCAGGAGCAGGTTGACGGGGATGACATCGGCGTCGCAGCTTGAGCGCTCCAGCAACCTCCGCGCGGCCTGGAACCGGCTATAGAGCTTGGAGATCGGAATGTCCTCCTCTACCTCCGCTTCCGGCACCTGGACGTGGTTGGCTGCGAGACTGGAGCGTGACCGCGATCTTGTCGCCACGGGCCGGGAAAGGGGGCGGACCCACGGCCTGATGGTGAAGTTATTGCAAGGTTTGAACGAAGACACCCTAAGCACCGTTTGGGTTGGCCTCGCTGCACGCGTGCATGCGCAATCTGAGTGAAACATCATGCATATGTCGTCCGATATGTGTCAAACAGGATTTTGCAGCATTTTCATTACTGTGGCATGCATCCATGGCTCGGTACAGGCAAACTGCTGGGATGGAGCACCGGCATGGTTACGGTAGTCATTGTGGGTGGCAGGGTGGAGCCGACAGACAAGTGGTTGGGTATTGGTCAGAAAATCAGGATCGGAATCGTGAGCACCACATGTGGTTTCCGGTCAGGAAATAGTAGACAGCGTCCATCCAGATTTGTCATTTACGCTTTTGACCATCAGGGATCAGTACGCGGAACGCTTTGACAGATGCATACTCTATCTGTAATTCTAGCATTCCCTGCGATTGACGCCAAGCTCAGGGCTGGGAATGCGTGACTAGCTCGTAGCAAGGGCTCACGTTGTTTTACAAAGAGCCTGGAGCGCCAGCTGGGGCCCATATCTGGCAGCAAACAACTATCAATCACATGCGGTGACTGACAGCGTCCATCGGCGTACCCAGCCCGAAGGCACATGCGATGTTGCCTGCAGCAGTGACGCGTGCTGTCGCTGCTGCAAACAGTGCGCACTGCTGGCGCCGCCTGGGCGGGGGCGCCACCAGGGGCCTGCAGCACGCATCTTTGCCGCGGCGAGGCGTCCAGGTCCCATCGTCAGCCCGGCCTACCCCGTGCCGCTCCCACACGGGCGGCACGCCGCTGGCGCATGTGGGAATGCGTCCCCTGGCAAGGCTGCCGCGGCGCGCCGCATGCACCTACAGCCCTGCCGCCGCCGCCGCCGCCGCCCCGGCCGCCCACCTCGCCTTGTGGCCCACTGCCAGCAGCAGCGACGCCGCCGGCGACGCGGCAGCCGCATCCGCCTTGTCGGCCGCGGCGCCGGGCGCCGCGTTCCTGCAGCAGGTGCGCGCGTGCGGCGGCGACGATGACGCGCTGGCGCGGCTCGCGGCCTCGGTCGCGCGGCGGCCACCGGACGAGCAGCGCCAGCTGGTGTCGGACCTCGCCGCTGTCCTTGACTCCACTGAAGAGGCCAGCGCCAGCGGCGGCGGCGGCGGCGGCGGCGGCTCGCCAGCCGCAGCGGTGTCTGGGCCATTGCTGAGCCAGGCGCTGTGGGTCGCGAGCCGCGCGGCGCGCGCGTGTCCGGAGGGCGCGAGGCGGCGGCTCTTTGATGGGGTGAGTCTCGCGCTCCCACGCCGCCTATAAGGTCGCGCGCCTCTGCATGCCCGCGCGCTCGCCTCCGGGCGTTGGTCGCGAAATTCGCAGTACCCGCCCTGTATCGCGCTTCCCGCCCCGGTGCTGCAGGCATCCTAGCCGCGAGTCCAATCCCCGGCAACCCCCCTCCCAACGCCTGCCCCGCCCACCCGCAGCCCTTCTCCTCCTCCACCTGTCCATGTCACCCTCTCCTTTCACCACCATCTACACAGGCCGTCCACACCGCGTATTCATCTCTGTCAGCCCTCTCTCCCCCAGACCTAGCGCGCCTCCTCTCGGCCTACGCGGCCGCCGGCGTCCCCAGCCAGGAGCTCTTCGCCGCCGCCACAGAGTTTGTGTGGGACGTCCTGCCGCGCATGGGGCCCGGGCAGCTTGCTGATGTGGCGGTGGCGTACGCGGCCGCGGGGCACTACGAGGACGACGAGGACTTGTGGCGGGGCATCGCCGACAATGTGGTGGGGCGGCTGCAGGTGCGCGTTTGTTGTTGGGGCTGGGGTCAAGGGCGCTGATTTGAGGGGGGGATGGGGGCCGCGTGGTGTGGTGCAGCCCGTGTGTCGAGTGCGTGCGTTGGTGCGTGCGCTTGTGCGTGCAGCCTGATTTGGTACGCACCTGGGCCGCTGGCAGCCGTCGCCTCCAGGGTTTGCGGCACTGCCGGCAACGCGCCAGTCCAGCTGCCTGTTTCTCCTCCACTAGGCAGGACCGTCCGGCTTCTGTGCACCCCGCCAGCATAACGCCCCACTATAGACTTCCACCACGCTCAACTCAGCACGCTGCCAAGCCCCACCCCTCCGTTTCTCCCCCACCCGCCCTCACCTCCTCTCCCAGGAGTTTGCGCCCCACCACCTCGCAGCGATCCTTGAGTCGACCGCCCGCCTCCGCTTCCGCCACGCCCCGCTCGCCGCCGCCGTCCTCGGCGCCGCCGCGTCCGGGACCGGGCGGTGGCAGACCGGGCCGCTCGCGCGCGTCGTGTGGGCGCTCGGGTGGCTGGGCCACGGGGTGGGGCCGGGGGAGGGGCCGCAGCTGGACAGGATCGCGGCGACGGTGACTACGCGGCTGCGGAACCTCCTGACGTCGACGGACGCGGCCCGCGTCGCGCCGCGGGCGTTCG